AGCTTAGTCATGGGCGACAAAGGGTAGCGGTGGAAGTATGCTTTTCGGAATGGAGGGTTGTGACTAGTGGTGTTCCACAGGGATCAGTGCTGGGACCTCTGCTGTTCGTGATCTACATAAATGATTTGGAGGAAAATGTAGCTGGTCTAATTAGTAAGTTTGCGGACGATACAAAGATTGGTGGAGTTGTGGATAGTGAGGAGGATTGTCAGAGGATACAGCAGGATATAGATCAGTTGGAAGCATAGGCAGAAAAATGTAAGATTGAGTTTAATCTGGACAAATGTGAGTTGATGCATTTTGGAAGGTCAACTACGGGTGGAAATTATACAGTGAATGGCAGAATCCTTAGGAGTATTGGTATGCAGATGGATCTGGGTGTGTGGGTCACTGTAGGTGGCAGTGCAAGTCGATAAGTTTGTAAAAAACGCTAATGGCATGGTTGCCTTCATTGGAAGGGGCATTGAGTATAAGGATAGGCAAGTTATGCTGCAGCTTTATAGAGCTTTAGTTAGGCCACACTTGGAATACTGTATGCAGTTCTTGTCACCACGCTACCAGAAGGATGTGGATGCTTTGGAGAGGGTACAGAAAAGGTTTATCAGGATGTTGCCTGATATGGAGGATTTTAGCTATGAAGAAAGGTTGGATAGACTGGGTTTGTTTTCACTGGAATGTAGGACATTAAGGGGCGACCTGATAGAAGTGTATAAGGTTGTGAATGGCATAGATAGAACGGAAAGTATGAGGCCTTTTCCCAGGGTGGAGGGGTCAGTTACTAGGGGACTAGCTTCAAAGCTAGAGGGGAAAGTTTAAAAGGGATGTGTGAGGCAAGTGTTTCACACAGAGGGTGGTGAGTGCCTGGAACACATTGCCAGAGGAGGTGGTGGAAGCAGGCACAATAACAGCATTCATGAAGGACCAGGACTAATACATGAACAGGAAAGGAATAGAGGGATACGGATCCTGTAAGTGAAGATAGATTTATTAAAGAAGGGCAAAATGTGTCAGTACAGGCTTGGAGGGCCGCAGGGCCTGTTCCTATGCTTTGTTCTTAGCTCACAGCAAGTCCCGTTCTTTTGTCTCCTGCTGTGCTCGCCGGCTTATACTGGCTCCATGTCAAGCAACATCTTGATTTAAAAGTCTCATCCTCGTTTCGAAAACCCTTCATGACCTCTCCCCTCCCTATCTCTGCAATCGTCTCCACCTGTCACCCTCCGTGATATCTGTGCTCCATTATTCTGGCCCTTTTTTGCTTCTCCAACTATAATCATCATTGGTGGGTGAACCATCGCTTCCCTGGGCCCCAAGCTCTGGAATTCCCTCCCTACACCTCTCTGCCATTCTACCTCACTTTCTTAGTTTAAAACATTCCTTAAAACCTACTGGTTTCATCCAGCTATTGGTCATCCAACTGTATCTCCTATTGTGTGGCTGGATGCCATGCTTTAACATATAATACTCCCATGAAGGGTGTTGGATGTTTCATTACATTAAAGGTGCTATGTAAGTCATTGTTGCTAAAATATGCAACATCTTCCTCATTTTTCCTTCCCCCCTCATCATTTGAGTTGCTTAGATCTCTTGTGAATTCCATAGAACCAAAAACTGTAGAATCCCTACAGTGTGGAAACAGGCCCTTCAGCCCAACAAGTCCACACTGACCCTCAGAGCATCCCACCCAGACCCATCCCACATAGTCTACCTAACCTACAAATCCCTGAACACTATGTGCAATTTAGCATGGCCAATCCACCCTAACCTGCACATCTTTGGACTGTGGAAAGAAACCGGAGCACACGGAGGAAACCCACACAGACACGGGGAGAATGCGCAAACTCCACACAGACAGTTGCCCAAGGCTGGAATCGAACCTGGGCCCCTGGTGCTGTGAGGCAGCAGTGCTAACCACTGAGCCACCATTCCTTCCTGAAACACTTCCCCATCTGCCCTGTTTGAAGAAGAGAGTGAAACAAGAGGGAATAAAATTGGCTGGATGGTTCAGAATAACACCAACAGCGCAGGGTTCAATCCTTGATTCACCTTGGGCTTACCCTGCAGCAACATCCCACCTGTAGGTTTAGCCACCTTTAAGGGGTAGATGGTAGTGTGCTGGTAATGTCACTCATAATCCAGAGGGGCACTGGTTCAAGTCCCACCATGGACTTTAAATTCAATTGGTAGGGTTGTGTGGTACAGTGATGTTGTGTTGTGACCTCTGAGACAGAAGGTCCAAGTTCAAACTATACCTGCCTTGAAGGAGTCCCATATCATGTTAAAGATTGAGGAGTGAGATTGCTTGTAATTTGAGATATTTTTCTAACCATCCTGTTCAGACATGTCATGACCTACATCAGGAGCAAGTGGGGCTTGTGCCAGGGCCTTCTGACCCAGTGGTAGGGACACTATCACAAGAGCACCTTGCTTGTTGTTTGAAGTCTACAGCACAGTAAAAGGCCCTTCGGCCCATTGAGTCTGTTCCAATCAAAAATAACCACCAAATTATTCTAATCCCATTTTTCAGAACTTGGTCCATAGCCTTGTATTCTCCTGATGTTGTTATTGTTAGGGGCAGAGTTCTCCATCGTGTGAGTTGGCCTCTTCCTGATCACACCATGCATCATTGACTCTGCATGTGGCTTCAACTCAGCAACAAAGACTGCATTTATATAGCCCTTTGGGCATAGCAAAACATACCCAGGCCACTTCAAAGACTGATCATCAAAGTGAATTCGACACTGTGCACTATAAGGTGATATTGGGATAGATGCGTTAAAGGTTTAGTCAAAGAGGTAGGTCTTAACTGAGTGACTTGCTCGGCCATTTCAAAGGACATAAGGCCATAAGACATAGGAGCAGAAGTAGGCCATTCAGCCCATCGAGTCTGCTCGACTATTCAATGAGATCATGGCTGGTCTGATAATCCTCAACACCACTTTTCTGCCTTTTCCCCATAACCTTTGACTTCCTTACGGATTAAAAATCTGTCTATCTCAGCCTTGAATATACTTAATGTGCTAGCCTTGACAGCCTCTGTGGTAATGAATTTCACAGGTTCACAATCCTCTGTGAGAAGTAATTCCTCCTCCTCTGTGTCTTTACTACGCAACCCCTTATTCTGAGATAACGCTATCCAGTTCTAGATTCTCCCAGAGTTCCCAGAGAATCTTGTATGTTTCCATAAGGTCCCTTCTCTTTCTTCTAAATTCTAAAGAGTCCATACCCAAGGACCTCTTGTCATAAGACAGACCCTCCATACCAGGAATCAGCCTAGTCAACCTTCTCTGGACAGCATAAAATACCAATATCTCTCTTTAGGTATGGGACCCAAAAACCATTCACAATATATCAGCTGTAGTCTTTCCACTTATTTTTGTGTCATCCACAAACCTGGTTATAGTACATTAACTTTCCTTATCCATGATGTAGAGGTGCTGGAGTTGGACTGGGGTGGACAAGGTCAGAAATCACACAACACTAGCTTATAGTCCAACAGGTTGATTTGAAAACACACAAGCTTTCACCTGATGAAGGGGCTACTCTCCTAAACAAAAACAAAATTGCTGGAAAAGCTCAGCAGGTCTGGCAGCATCTGTGAAGGAGAAAACAAAGTTAACGTTTTGGGTCCGGTGACCCTTCCTCAGAACTGAGGACTACTCTCCTAAAGTTTGTGTGTTTTCAAATAAACCTGTTGGACTCTAACCTTCTGCCATGTGATTTCTGACCTTTTCCTTCTCCAAGCCATTAATATAAATTGTAACTAACTGCAGTTAAGAAGCAACCGCCTTGCTGTGGGTCTGGAAGTCACACATAGGCCAGACAGATGGCAGATTTCCTTCCCCAAAGGACCTCAGTGAACCAGATGGGTTTTTAAAGGTCAATGAGAGTTTGAGTAATAAAACTATCTTTGTGTTCCTGATTTATTAACTAAATTCAAATTCCGCCAACTGTTACAATGGGTTTTGAGCTCAGTACCTCTGGACCATTGATTACTGGTCGGGTGACATTATCGCAACACCACCACCTCCCCCTTAAAGGAGATGGTGGTGGTAGCGAGGTGGAGAGCTTACAGCCCAGGGAGCTGAAGACATGACCATTTATGCTGCAATCATGGATGGAGTGATACATAGGAGGAGTGCAGACAACCCGGGGGGCTGTGGGAGGTTACAGAGATGGGGAGAGAGGCCGTGGAGGGATTTTGATTTGATCTGATTTATTGTCACATACCTAGGTACAGTGAAAAGTTTTGTTTTGTGTGTAGTACAGGCAAGTCATACCATACAAAGTGCATAAGAGTAATAGAACAGAGCGAGGAATGCAGTGCCATGGCTGCAGAGAAGGTGCACAAACACCAAGGTCAAAATAAATTTAAAATTTGAGAGGTCCATTCACAAGTCTAATAACAGGGGGAAGAAACTGTTCTTGAATCTGTTAGTACATGTGTTTAAGCTTTTGTATCTTCTGCCTGATGGTATAGGTTGGAAGAGTGTTTATAAACAGGTTGATGATGTTGGCTGCCCTTCCAAGGCAGTGACAAGTATAGCTGGAGTCAGTGGATAGGAGGTTGGCTTGTGTGATGGACTGGGTTGTGTTTACAACTCTCTGTAGTTTCTTACAGTTCTGGGAAGTGCAGTTGCCCCCGTACCAAGCCATGATGCACCCGGATAGAATGCTTTCTATGGTGCATCTATAAAAATTGGTAAGATATGAAAGCAAGAATAAAGATTTTTCAATCATGGGGCCGCTTGGCAAGACCAATAGTTAAAGTGAGTCAGTAAACTCTGGCGGTAGGTGGGGGGGTGCCTGTGAAATGGAATTTAGTGTGAGTTAGGACAAGGGGCAGCAAGGGGAGCTTCAGAGGCCAGTAAGGAGAGCATTGGGGTATTCAAAGAGGAAGCAAAGGCATGGCAGAGGAAGTCAGCAGCAAAGAGGGAGGGGATGTGATGAAGATGGAAGTAGAATCAATGATGTAGAAGTAACCTTCTGCTTTGTTCCTTTAGAAACTGCTGGCAGATGAGAGGCTGGTGTCAGCAGAGAAAGAGCTGGAAGACAGACAGTTGCTGAACCAGATGCTGGACTCCATGAAGATTACACCCTTTCTGAACGAGGACCTGCAAGTGGAAGTCATGAAGGTGCTCACTCATTGATAAAATGCAAACTTATGCGGGGTGCTTGTCCCTTAGGAGAGGCTCCTGATTACGATGGGGTACCCCAGGCTCAGCATATTATGGTTGAGAGAATGGGCCTTGGAATTCCAGGGAAACCATGTTGGTTTTGACCAGAATTCCTGATTGCAAAACTCTGATGCTCCAGAACCTCACAAGGAATCCCAGGAAGAGGGCTGTTGTCAGCCGGAATGGGAGGCCCATTCAGAGGCATCCCCTCCCATGTGCCAGTCTAATCCTCACCCAGGGAAAGTGCAAGTGGCAACACCTTCAATATCATTGGTTCCCTTTAGGTAGCTCCTGGGGTAGGACACTTGTCTCTTGTGGACCCAGGACCCACTGTAGACTGAGAAAATGCTACATGAGTTCTTCATGGTGCCCCACACAATATTTATCATTCAACCAAACTGTCTAAAGCAGAGCATCTGCTCATTGTGACGTTGCTATTTCTCTGATCTTGCTGGGTGCCGATTGGTTGCTGTGTTTGCTACATTACAGCAGTGCTACACCATGCTTTGGGATATTATAGGTGATTTAAATGCAAGTCTTTTCTTCCATGGCCTTTGAAAGGCCCAGGATGGGATATGTATCAGTTATCATCTGTGACAAAGCCCCACTGTGTCTAAATAGAGAGCATGAGCCAAATACCCAGGAAATTTGCCCAGAAACCCTCTCCAAGCTGTTATGAGATGAAGAGAGGGAAGGCAGGACATGATGCATGGTGGTCAAGGTACAGGGTAACCACAGCAACTCTCAACCTCACCATCTCAACTCTAACCCTTTCCCCATTTGGCATCGTTAGAGGTAAACATCAACTAAGTGCAGTAGTATGTCTGGGAAACAAGCGGATCTGTGGAGATTGTGGACTGGTTTGAGTTTATATCTATGGTATTTTTATTCATTCTCTGCTTCTTTGAAAGGTGCTGCTGTGTATCACATACTCATCGTCATTTGAAATAAATGGCAGTGCAGTGCTGAAGATTGCTGAGGTAATGCTGCCTGTGTGTCTCTGACACCCTGTTTGTTGTACTGACTACTTGACAAAGTGATTCTCCACATGTGTGGTTATTCATGTTTGTATGCAAGCTTGCATATGTGTTTGCATACGTGTTTATGTTTACATATGTGTTTGCATGTGTTTGTATATGTGTTTGTGTATGTGTTTACATATGTATTTGTATGTGTTATATAGATGTTTGTATGTGTTTGCATATGTGTTTAAGTGTTGCATACATGTTTGTATATAGATGTGCTTGCATATGTGTTTGTGTTGTATACATGTTTGTGTATGTGTTTGCAT